AGAGGTGGTGCATGGACCACGATGGTGTAAAGGTCCTTGTGTGTGGGGAGCCCCCACGACTGCTGCCAGGAAACCGGAGGTGTTCTTTTGTACAGGAGAGCCCAAAGGGAGAGGAGAGTATGCTGATGAAGGGTGTAAAGCTGAAAAAGATTTCTGGGCTTGACAAGAAACCGAACGTTCTCTTCTCTTAGGAGTTATGAAGGATAACTGTGTGTATTGGAGGAGCCTTCTCACTGCTGGCATTGATATTGGGAAGTGAGGTGGGCATGCTGGAGGCAGGGACATAGAAAAACACATACAGTATATAGATCAAGCCAGGAGAGCATAGTTCAGCCCAGGGGCGGACTGACCATTTGGAAACTCGGCACTGCCCAAGGGCCCGGGTTCAGTAGGGGTCCCATGAGATGTCCCTGGTACCTTTTTTTCATAGGCTTTTTTGAGTTTGGGCGATGACACAGGGGCCCCATGATCCCCTATTGCCTGGGGACCACATGAGTTGTCAGTCCACCCCTGGTTCAACCCCAACCGCTAAAGGAGCAACATGCCCCAGGGACTATCCAATGCAAAGATACTTGATTAATGTAACCACTTGCCTACCGGGCACTTTCACCCCCTTCCTGTCCAGGCCAATTTTCAACTTTCAGTGCTGTCACACTTTGACTGCAACACTGTACCCATAATGACATTTTTATCATTTTTTTGAGACATAGAGCTTTTTTTTTGTGGTATTTAATCAGCACTGTTTTTTTTTTTTTGTTTTTTTTTTGCTAAACAAAAAAAGATCAAAAGTTTTGAAAAAATATTTTTTTTCTTAGCTTCTGTTATAAAATTTTGCAAATGGGTAATTTTTTTCTGCTTCACTGATGTGTTCTGATGAGGCTGCACTGATGAGGCTGGCACTGATGGGTGGCACTGATGGGTGGCACTGATGGGTGGCACTGGCTGGCGGCCCTGATGATTACTGGCTGGCGGCCCTGATGATTACTGGCTGGCGGCCCTGATGATTACTGGCTGGCGGCCCTGATGATTACTGGCTGGCGGCCCTGATGATTACTGGCTGGCGGCCCTGATGATTACTGGGCGGCCCTGATGATTACTGGCTGGCGGCCCTGATGATTACTGGCTGGCGGCCCTGATGGATGCTGTTGGGACTGCACTGATGGACACTGTTGGGGCTGCACTGGACTGCCTCTTATTTTTAAATACATTTGCTGATTACCAGCTCTTCTTTCCTCACGCTGTGACAGTGTAAGGAAAGTGCAGCTGGTAACCAGCAAATGAATTTACATTGTGATCAGCTGTGTCATTGGACACAGCTGATCACATGGTAAAGGGCTAATCACAGCGCCCTTTTACCCATCTCCAAAGGACACAGCAATCGCAGAGCTCACCCAGTGCGCACCCCAGGGGGCACGTGGGAGGTGCTGCTCTGAAGGGCTTCACGTGGCGACCTCCCAGAACTAGACGACTGCACTGTAGCCATCATTTGGCTATAGCCTGGTTGTCAAGTGGTTAAAGTCCATCTAAAAAGTCTATACATGCTGACACTTGCAGAAGGCTGCTCCACCACAAGACAGGAGAGATCTTTCAAATAAAATCAAAGAACACCAGGAGGCATCAACTCACATGCTGTAGTAAGCAAAGCTGACAGATAAAAGTGTAAGTCTACAGCTCTCCAGGCATGAGGGTCCTGACATCGGCTTACACTTTTATCTATGCGCTTTACACACTACAGCATGTGAGTTGCTACTTTTTGTACCATTAAAGTTTTTAATATGCTGCACTTTGTTGGCACCTCGCGGTGGTCTTTGATGCTGGAGGGAGGAGATGGTGACACGGAGTTGTAATACTGTATAATAAGAAACACATATAGGACATAGTTAAATTATATGAGCAAATCCATAGTAGTTTGATGTAGGCAAGGGGTGGACTGACCATTTGGAAACTCGGGCACTGCCCGAGGGCCCGGGGTCAGTAGGGGGCCCCATGAGATGCCCCTGGTACCTTTTTCATAGGCTTTTTTGAGTTTGGGCAAGGACACAGGGGCCCCATGATCCCCCTATTGCCTGGGGGCCCCATGAGTTGTCAGTCCGCCCCTGATGTAGGCCCATACTGTCCCATGCTTTCTTACTATGATCCCGAAATGGTAACAAGCACCTTCCAGGGTACTAGCCATTGCTTCGATCAGGAAGCATGCTGAAGATGCTATACAGCACATGGCATAACACAAGGGCTCTTATGAGTTTTGTCGTAGCCCAAGGTTTCTTTCTGCGTTTTTAAGTACTCTGTGTAACCCAGTGTTTACAAGCAGCTCTAGTATAGCAGTATAGCTTACAGGACCTCAAGTACCCCTTTCCAAGAGTATTATTCACTTTTCTTTAACTGTTTTTTTTTTTTTCTTCTGACCCTACTTTTAAAGTCACTTAACTTGAGCAAGCATGCAAATCTGAAGTGTCTGAGGTCATTATTCTGGTTCTTTGTTCAAGTGCAGTAAGTCCAGTATTAAAGCTACTGGATCAATATGATATAGCCAAGCAACTCAAGTTTTCAGAAGGAGAGGTCAGCCATTGGAGCCTTTGTTTACTCTAATGTGGAATGACTACCTATATCATTCACTTTAGAACCAGTCCTTGCCTTGTTTAACCTCTTGATGACCTGCCATAGTAATTATACTGTGACGGGGTGGCACATGCAGGCACAATCACATATATGTATGTCATTGTGCCTGCCCCTCCTATGCCCGCTGTATCTGGTGGATTACGGTTATCGGTAACTGGGTAAATGTGTGATCGCTAGGATTGGTCATAGCAATCACATGATAACAATGTAAACAACCTGTCTTGAATGGCATGATTTAAAACTGCGCATGCCCCGTGTAATGATGACAAACTGCATACGTTTTTTAATATCCATAGGCAACGTTTTAAAAGCCTTTACAAGCTACCATTTTAGATTTACAAGGAGGTCTAGTGTTAGAATTACTGCCCTTAATCTGACGTTCACGGCGATACCCCACATGCATGGTGCAACCGATGTTTACATACCGTCACAGGGTCAACACTCGCGCGCACACACATGAGGGCGAGGGTTTTTTTTTTTTCTTTTTTAAAGCTATTTTGATTTTTTTAGAATTATTTTTACACTGTCCCTTTCTTTTTTTTTTTTTTTTTTTTTTGATCACTATTAATGCTATCACAGGGAATGCAAATATCCCCTATAACCTCAATGGGCATTGTTATATATTCTTTTTTGAGAAATCTGGGCTCTATCAGACTCTAGATATCTCCTCCGCCCTTACACTATCTAATCAAACAAAGATTGATGTGATCAGAAGCTTTCCCAATTTACAAATGGCGCTGTTTATATCCTGTGAAACTGAAGTGATGAAATGCTCGTTGCTTCCGATTTCTTAGACTATAGAGATGATTGGCACCATTTTGGTCTCTATTCGGCTCTATGGTCAGCTGGCAGAAACACCGGCTGCATTCTCAGGTTCCCCTGATGGCACTGGACTGCCCGAGAAGGCCGTGGAAGGCAGCGCGGGGGGGGGGGGGGGGGGGGGCGACATCATCTCCCATTGCTTGTAAAAGCAATCCTGCAGCTAATTAGCCTCTAGGATTGCTTTTATATGAAAGTCGATCGCCTGCTGAAAAAAATGATACCAGGATGATGCCTGCAGCTGTAGGCATCATCCTGGTATAACCATTCAAAATCCAGGGATGTACCAGTATGTCGCTGATCCTTGTTGGGTATACAGTCAGGTCCATAAATATTGGGACATCGACACAATTCTAACATTTTTGGCTCTATACACCACCACAATAGATTTGAAATGAAACGAACAAGATGTGCTTTAACTGCAGACTGTCAGCTTTAATTTGAGGGTATTTACATCCAAATCAGGTGAACGGTGTAGGAATTACAACTGTTTGCCTATGTGCCTCCCACTTGTTAAGGGACCAAAAGTAATGGGACAGAATAATAATCATAAATTAAACTTTCACTTTTTAATACTTGGTTGCAAATCCTTTGCAGTCAATTACAGCCTGAAGTCTGGAACGCATAGACATCACCAGACGCTGGGTTTCATCCCTGGTGATGCTCTGCCAGGCCTCTACTGCAACTGTCTTCAGTTCCTGCTTGTTCTTGGGGCATTTTCTTTTCAGTTTTGTCTTCAGCAAGTGAAATGCATGCTCAATCGGATTCAGGTCAGGTGATTGACTTGGCCATTGCATAACATTCCACTTCTTTCCCTTCAAAAACTCTTTGGTTGCTTTTGCAGTATGCTTTGGGTCACTGTCCATCTGCACTGTGAAGCGGCGTCCAATGAGTTCTGAAGCATTTGGCTGAATATAAGCAGATAATATTGCCCGAAACACTTCAGAATTCATCCTGCTGCTTTTGTTTGCAGTCACATCATCAATAAATACAAGAGAACCAGTTCCATTGGCACCACCATGCTTCACTGATGAGGTGGTATGCTTAGGATCATGAGCAGTTCCTTTCCTTCTCCATACTCTTCTCTTCCCATCACTCTGGTACAAGTTGATCTTGGTGTCATCTGTCCATAGGATGTTGTTCCAGAGCTGTGAAGGCTTTTTTAGATGTCGTTTGGCAAATTCTAATCTGGCCTTCCTGTTTTTGAGGTTTACATCTTGTAGTGAACCCTCTGTATTCACTCTGGTGAAGTCTTCTCTTGATTGTCGACTTTGACACACATACACCTACCTCCTGGAGAGTGTTCTTGATCTGGCCAACTGTTGTGAAGGGTGTTTTCTTCAGCAGGGAAAGAATCTCTTCGGTCATCCACCACAGCTGTTTTCTGTAGTCTTCTGGGTCTTTTGGTGTTGCTGAGCTCACCGGTGCGTTCCTTCTTTTTAACCTCCTTGGCGGTGTTCCCGAGTGTAGCTCGGGGTAGAATTTCTATACCAAGAACGGTAACCCCGAGCTACACTCGGGCTTACTATGCAGCGTTCTCTGGGGGTCCCTGCAGCACTTACCTTGTCCTTCGCTCCCACGATGTGTCCCCTGCAGCGTCCCCGTCCATCTCCTCCGGCGGATGCCGGCATCTGACTTCCGTGTTCCGGTCCCCGTGACGTCGGAACGTTCGGGCGGCGGAACCGGCGGGAAGTTTGAAATTTTTAAAAAAATGACATTTTTGCTGTCATTGCTTTTTCACTGCATTTCACATACATTTTGTCCCCACTGCTTTGTCCTGTGCCCTGCCTGCATTTTGACTGTTCTTTCTGCCTGGAAACTTAGAAAAGTCCATGGCGGCCAAAAAGCGTCCCTTTACATCAAAAGCGGTTTTAGAACAGCGATAGTAAATCAGAACCACTTGCAGAATTGAGTGATAATGATTTGTGGGGAAATTCGTCATCAGACACTGAAAACGATTTTGCGACTTTGCTCAGCGATGTGCGAATTTGCCTCTGTATTTCAAATTTCAGTGTTTTTGGTTTTATTATATTATTGAATTAAATTTATTATTATTATATTATTATTTTTTATGATTATTTATTAAATTATAATTTATGATTTCGTGTTTCAAGTTTTTATCATATCCGGAATGTTTAATAGACTCTTTTTCGGATAGATTTCAGTGAGTTATTCCTAAAAATTACAGCCTACAATTAAAAAACTACATATTTCCATGCAAAAAAATGGTACCGCTTTCAGCACAAAATTCCTGACATGATCATACCGCCAGGGAGGTTAAGAATGTTCCAAACAGTTGTTTTGGCCACGCCTAATGTTTCTGCTATCTTTCTGATGGGTTTGTTTTGTTTTTTCAGCCTAATGATGGCTTGCTTCACCGATAGTGACAACTCTTTGGATTTCATCTTGAGAGTTGACAGCAACAGATTCCAAATGCAAATAGCACACTTGAAATGAACTCTGGACCTTTTATCTGCTCATTGTAATTGGGATAATGAGGGAATAACACACACCTGGCCATGGAACAGCTGAGAAGCCAATTGTCCCATTACTTTTGGTCCCTTAACAAGTGGGAGGCACATATGCTAACTGTTGTAATTCCTACACCGTTCACCTGATTTGTATAGAGCCAAAAATGTTAGAATTGTGTCGATGTCCCAATATTTATGGACCTGACTGTATGTGCTATGTTCTTCTTTTTTTTTTTTTTTTTTTTTTTTGTATGCAGCCTGTGGACTGGGGAAGAAAGAGAAGAAATCTGTGCCAGAAAAAGTGTGTTCTATGCCCACTATTAGAATATACTGCACTGCATCCACCCTCTTCTAATGGTGGGCACACATTAGGTCGCACGGTGCCACATGCGCCAGTTCCAAGATTGTACAAATGTCTATATAGTGGCAGGGGCAGGACTGACAACTCATGGGGCCCCCAGGCAATAGGGGATCATGGGGCCCCTGTGTCCTTGCCCAAACTCAAAAAAGCCTATGAAAAAGGTACCAGGGGCATCTCATGGGCCCCCCACTAACCCCAGGCCCTCGGGCAGTGCCCAAGTTTCCAAATGGTCAGTCCGCCCCTGTATAGTGGTACGCTTCAATAAAAATTGTCCACGTATAAGTGGTACCCCATATGGAAAATGGATGACCTCAAGTCCCAAACTATCTTGCCACTACTCCCCATGTAGTCTGGGCATCCGAGGGGCTCCACATATCTTTTTTTCCATCGTAAATCCGAAAATTCTATGTATAGCCTGTTGCCCTCTCACAGGTCTTATACATCTTGACCCCATATCTGGCACTCTTGCTGGGGACAAATTGTTTGAATGCAATGCAGCTAGAAAAATTTAATGAGGGACTCATCAACGTAGAGTTTTTTTGCTGGGGAGTATAGACATCTGCAAATTTTTGGTTAAGGTGATTTATGAGGGGCTGAATTTTGTGGAGTCGGTCAAATTCAGGGTCACCCCAAGGATGACAGTGTATTGTCGTTGAAATGCATAAAACATGTCTCTCATATCTATGCCTGGCCATGGCAGCAGAGAACATGGGCATATGATGAATCGGGTCTGTCTACCAATGCAATTCATTTTTTTTTTTTTTTTTTTTTTTTTTTTTAGTAATGCCCATGTTGAGGGTTAGGCCCCAAAAAAATGTAAATTCGAAAACTGTAATGGGTTTCCATGCGAATGGTCTGGCAAGGTTTGAATTTGGGTTGGCGGTGATGATCCACAATCAAAGCATACAGATATTCCGTGAAAAACAGCTCCAAAAAAATCAAGCGGAGTAGTTAAATTTTGCTGTTTCCACCTGAATTTCAGGTTGGGCAGTGGATGGGGGAAGTACGTGTGCTGCAGAATTTGTGGGCTGCCAGTCGGGATTAGCAAGCACATCCAGAAGGATACTAGGGGCTCTATGGGCCTGTGTGCGAATTCTGCACTTATGGGACTTGCCATGTCACCAAGTGATACTGTAATGCTGGTATGTGAAAGACCAGGATGTACTAGGCCACTAGTGCTCGCCAATTCACCAAAAAGTATCGTGACACTAGTACTGGCACTCTGTTGCATATGAGAGTCATCAAAATTTTCCGGCAAGTGCTAACAGAGATCAGGCCTGATTCTGCAAACACTGCGGTTTTGTGTGTATACATTTATCAAGTGACACTGACCTACTGACACTGCATTTGCTGGGGAAGAAGTGGGGGGTAAGTGTAGGGGCTTTCCACTTATGAACAGCTTGCTTTTGGTTGTGATCTGTGATTGGCCCACAGCAATCACATGGTATCTGGCTACCCATACCATGTGATTAGCTGTAACCAATCACAGATCACAACCAAAAGCAAGCTGTTCATAAATGGTTAACCCAGTAAAACTATTGTTCATACACTTATAAGCAATAAGTGTAAAAGAAAAAAAATCCCTGATATCTCTCACACACACACACACACTAGTACAGTGTCACAGTGGTGACACTGAGCCACTCTGATGACAGCATGTTAAAAAAACAAAAAAAAAAAAAAAAAAAAACCAAAACGTCAAGGGGAAAAAAAGATTAAAAATTTAATAAAAAAATATTTAATTACCTTTTTTTAACATACTGTAACAAGTCGGTGTCCCTAATCGCTGCCACACCAGTCATATGATGATGCTGTACTGCACTGGTGGCAGTGCGTTTAAAAAACAAAATTGTGGAAAAAAATTTTTTTTCATTTCTTTATTTTCCAAAAATATGTGACAAAAATTACAAGTTCAAAAAACTCACAATGCCTCTCACTAAATACTTCAAACTGTCTACTTTACAAAAAAAGGGGTGATTTGGGGAATATTTGTATTGTCCTGGCATTTTAAGGACTTCAAGAAATGAGAGGCCATCAGGATTGATCAACTTTCAGATAATATACACTTATTGGGATTTTTTTTACCAAAGCATGTAGCAGAATACAGTTTGGCCTAATTTTATGAATAAATTAGATGTTTTGATTTTTATTGGATATGTTTTATAACAGTAGAAAATTATAATTGTTTTCTCCAAAATTTTCAGTCTTTTTTTTGTTAATAAAATAAAAAACCCAGTGGTGATCAAATACCACCAAAAGAGAGCTCTATTTGTATGAAAAATGATATGAAGTTAATTTGGGTACAGTGTTGCATGAGCACGCAATTACCAGTTAAAGTAACACAGTGCTGAATAGCAAAAAATTCCCTGGTCAGGGAGTAAAACCTTCCAGAGCTCAAGTGGTTAATTTTGTTATAGATGTTGTTGCATGTGATCTATTGCTTCACTGCTTCCCCATGTAGATATGTGTCATTATATTTTCTGAGCCAATGATACTCCGGATATCAAGGGGGTAACTCAGTGTTGCCACACTGATGGATCTCAAGCAGGGTTTAACTATCTGTTTTTTATATACATTTTCACTGAAAATATTTCACTATACAATATAAAAAACAGACGTGAAGTACGCTCCGCTTTAGTTACAGACGTGAAGCATACAAGATGTTGGTTACAAAGTAAAAAATGTAATGAGTTGGGAACCAGTCAACCTTGCAACCGGTCAAAGTTTATTGTGTTCTCTATCTTGGTCATACAGTTTTAAAAAAAAAAAGGTTTTGATGATTTATTATGTTAAATAATACAATATTGACTGTAAATCACAGGTGGCAAAAGTTTTATTGGCAGCAAGCTGCAATATACTGGCATAAGCACAGTTACTAGTGGTTAGGTCCGATATGGGTGCTAAGAGCTGTACATGAACATATCAGACTATACCTGGCAATTGCAGGTCAATTGCACTTCTGTTCAAAAGAGGTTGTAAGTTTGGAATTGTCCTGATTTTAAATATTGGGAAAACAAAATTCTTATCTAAAAATTTGCATGGGCGAGTGTGAGATTCCTCATGCAGTTTGTCAAATATCTTTGGTTTACCTTGAGTCAGTAGAACTGAAGTAAGGTTAGACAATCTCCACCAGGAAAAGGCTACATGATTTGTTATTCCATAATACAACGCAGAAATAAGAGGTGTGCATGGGGCATTAATTTTAGCTGCTTGTTTGAATGTATCCAGTATTTAACAAGTGGGTCAATACTGAATTATTTATTGGACTTCAATGAATAGGAGTCGACAATAACAGATGTTTACACCAGTTGGGGAGCAGTATGCTTCTAGTGAGACCCAAAGAGGACATCTTATTTAGTATGCAAAAGTACAAATTGTGATGACTGTGTTGCCTGGTAGTACTTGGCCATGTTGGGGGAGACCAAGACCCCCTTGGTCAGACTAAGCTCCAAATAGATTTGGAAATTTGTGTAGTAGGAGCAGCTTCTGGGAGAACCTGGGCATAATATAGAAATGTTGGTAACCGCATCATATTGGCAGGACCAACTCTCCTGAACCATGAAATACTGAGTTGGTTCCAAGTGATCAGTAGGTCCTGTACTTGCCTAAAGATGGGTAATTGGCATGGAAGAGAGGGAGATAGTTCAGGTGAAATCAAAATTGGACTGGAGTTGGTCTTGTACCTCTTTAGGGTGAGTGAAATGTTGTGGGCCTTTTGCTCTATTTACTTGGCGACCCAAGATGTTTCCGAATTTTTTGAGTGTTTGGAAAAGGTTAGGGATGGATATTCGTAGCTTCATTACTAATAGCAGTACATCAGCTTTGAACTTAGTACTTCAACTGTGAACTTGATTAGTTTGTGGCCATCCTGCTACTTTAATCCCAGAGGTGACTTGGTTAAGTCTAATTATTTGAGCCAAAGGTTTGATGGTGAGTAAA